TTTTTCTCTGAGTGTTCGTCTTTTTGTTGTTGTCGGTCTCTTGGGGAGATTAAGCGTTGGAACTCGAACTCTCTTTTTGGTTGGAGAGAGCTGTGGCGTTTCCCTACTGCCCCGTCGCCATCTTGGTCCCCCCTCCCTGTAGTTATATTTTTAAATAGATAATAGCAAAGATAGAAGTAAACACTAATGCTGTTTAAATGTCTGAAAGCATGTATGCAGAATATAAACATTGCTGTTGTTGTATTTTAGTATGAATCATCAGTTTTTCTTTGATATGAGAGACTTTTTATTCTAGTGCTAAAATACAAAGACTCTAAGTGAAATTTACCCTACTATAACATAATGCTTTTCCTTTCCACTTCCCCATTTGAATTCCTAACCAATTAGGAGAAAGTTCATCTAAATTTGCCTGTAATCTCTCCATCATTTAACTTGTGTGTATCTTTTGATTTTGTTACAGTGATGATGTTTATTACTTTCTGTTTCTGAGTATCGATGTGCCTGCTGATAAACTGTTGATTTTATGTTGTTTTTCAGCTGATTATCTGGCTCAGGCATTTGATTCTCTATGTTTGGACTTGAAGACAGATGAAGGAAAATCCTTGTTTTTAGAGTATCAAGCTGTTCCAGTAATATTAGGCCATCTGAAAATATCCAGTAAGGGACTTTTATCCAATGTCATTGATAGTCTGCTCCAGATGACAGTAGAATCTAGTAAGTTTTTGTTTTTTATATGTAAAGAAGTTAAAGGGGAATGGCTTTCCTATCTTCTGGTATGTACATGTTATTCCATATTAGACAATATTGTATTTTATACTTTAACTGATTCCAGTGTTTTTGGCATTTCAGCAACTAATATCACCAAGAGTTCCAACACTCATCATCAAGAGTTCAAACGCTCACCTTTTGTTAGATTTTCACAGACTTAACAGCTTCCATTAGTCATTCATTGTGCTGTGGGTACACCGCAAGCATTACATATTTGAACCTCTTTTTCTATTTGCTTGTGTTCTTTCATTCTAGCTGATTCTGTTGTATATTCTCTTTGCTCAGCTGAAGTAAGAGCATCAAATGTATCTCTACTTAAAATGAGAAATTTTGACAGAGACATGTTCCTGTTGTTGTCTCTTCAGCTTCTATTTCATTCAAGGGGTAGGGCATAGGCCAGAGAAAAGGGACACTTTGGCTGGGCATTTGAATAATCTGTTTCACTCATTTGTGATTTTCTGAAGTCTATGGGATTCCTTTTGGGTTTTTATATTGGTAAGATAAGTTCTTTTAGCTTGTTAATAGTTTCTAGTTTAACACAGAGCAGTACGGGGATACCAAATACGATTTACTTCCATGGCTCTTTAAACCTCAGATAATCTATTGACTTTTAAAAAGCAGTCATTTGCCGGGCACCTGTGGCTCATGCCTGTAATCCTACCTACTCAGGAGGCTGAGATCTGAGGATCGCTGTTCAAAACCAGCCCGGGCAGGAAAGTCCGTGACACTCTTATCTCCAATAAACCACTAGAAAACCAGAAGTAGTGCTTGCCTTGAGCTGAAGATCAGTACAGGGAAAATGACCAGGCCCAGAGTTCAAGCCCAACGACCGACATAAAAATAAATAAAAAGCAATCATTTATTTGTTTCCTCTTTATTCTCTCTTCTCTCTACAACTGTTCTAAAACGAAACTCCTGCTTCCTCCCCCCCACCCCCCCAGGGGAAATAAACTTAGAATGGAAAGCTATTGTTCTGAAATCTGTGGGCTTGATATTGCTTTAGCAGCTTTCCAGTGTTTGGGTACAAAGCCTGGATGTGTTTCTGACTAGCTAGGCTTGATGTACAGTTTCTCATTTTTAATTCACAACTTCTCTGTGAAGGAGGCCTGATAGGAAAAATGAAAACTAGAAAAGTGAGATACCTTCAGGGATCCAAGAGCTATACATTAGCATCACTCTACTGTAGTACCATAATTAAGTTTTCAAATTTGCTTTTTCCCTATTCCAAAGTTTTCGGATATTTCCTCAGTATATTTTAGTCATTTGTAACTCTTCAGATACTGAACTTCAAGGTAAGGATCTGGCTATCTGGATGAGTAATCCTAGAGTTTTGTTTTTCAGTTTACTAACATATGAAATAAAACAAAAGTTTAAATTTTACTTGCTTATAAGTGATGACTAGATTTCCAACTTGTTTCTTATGAATTTTTTATTTTCATGAGAAAAACATTCTACTAAATAGAAGTTGTCTTTATTAGAAACAAATATTTTTTAATATTATAATCAAAGAAAAGCTAAGTTTAATTTGATGGAATAACCAACAAAGAAAAATTGTGGCACCACATTTCATATTTAGAGAAATCAGCAGGCATTTTAGTCCTTCATATATGTTTACTGTTGATCAACTTACTCTCACTTGTTCACTTCTAACACTTATTCAAATTGATTTTTAATACTGATTTCTTTTTTTCTTTTTTTTTTTTTTGAGATCAGTCATGGGCCTGAACTCAGGGCCTGGGCGCTGTCCCTCAGCTCTTCAGCTCAAGGCAGCGCTCTACCACTTGAGCCTCAGCGCCACTTCCGGCTTTTTTTTTTTCTGCTTATGTGGTGTAGAGGAATTGAACCCAGGGCCTCATGCATGCAAGGCAAGCGCTCTACCACTGAGCCACCTTTCCAGCCCTTTAATACTGTTTCTATGAAAGCCTTATTATTTTGTGACAAACTTTTTAAATATCAGAAATGGGTAAATTTTTGATGTTGGGTTGAAGCATATTGATTTGGTTGATTTATTTCCCACTTTAAATGTAAATCCGGTGACTGGCATTGTCATTTGGTTGAAGGAATAGATCAAAATGTAATAAATACTTCTTTTATTGTTCTTCTTTCCATTTGTTTATTTTCTAGGTTTGATATTAGAAACTCATTTCACTACGTATAAAATTTTCACATGCCAAAAATCATAGGAAAAGTAGGAAAAGAAATCTCAATAGAATTGGTAAATAGCTTTTGGAACTGGCAGGCACTGGACTGTACATGGAGGAAGAATCATGTAACCACTGCACTCTATGTGGCATGACAAGAAGCATGTCTGCAAGGAGAAGTCTCACAGATCCTACTCAGGCTGGCTTCAAACAGCTTTGAACTGTGATTCTCAGATCTCAGCCTCCTGAGTAGCTATTATTACAAGCATGAGCCGCTGGTGCCTGGCTGTTGTGCAGTGTTTTTTTGGTCAGTGTAAATAGAGTGAGTGAAGGCAGAACAATAGAATGAGAATGAGAAAGGGAAAGAGCTGAGTGGGTTTTTTTTGTTGTTGTTGTTTGATTGTTTTTTCTAGTATTATTTACTACAATTTTTTTTTTTTTTTTGGTCATGGGGCTTGAATTCTGGGCCTGGGCGCATTCCCTGAGCTCTTCATTAGTGCTCTGCCACTTGAGCCACAGCACCATTTCCAGTTTTCTGATGGTTGATTGGAGATAAGAGTTTCATGGACTTTCCTGGCTGGGTTGGCTTTGAACCATAATCCTCAATTCTCAGCCTCCTGAGGCTAGGATTACAGGTGTTCGACACTGGGGCTTGGCCAAAATTTCTTATTGACAGTTGTCAGAAATGAGTTTATAGTTATGAGCTATATTGGGAAATTTTATTTTTCCTTTCAAACATGGGCTCTCTGAAAAATTTTGCTAATAGAAGTCTGTCATTGTGGGGGCTGGGAAGGTAGCTCAGTGGTAGAGTGCTTGCCTTGCATGCATGAGGCTCTGGGTTCGATTCCTTAATACCACATAAGCAGAAAAAGCTGGAAGTGGTGCTTTTGCTCAAGTGGTAGAGCACTAGCCTTGAGCTGAAGAGCTGAGGGACAGCGCCCAGGCCCAGAGTTCAGGCACCATGACTGGCAAAAAAAAAAAAAAAATGTCTGTCATAGGGGATTTTATATTTTGTGTGTGCTAATCTTAGGACTTGACCTCAAGGCATGGGTACTGTCCTTGAGCTTTTGTGCTCAGGGTTAGTGCTCTGCCACTTGAGCCACAGTTCCATTGCCAACATTTTTTTTTGCTGTAATTGAAGATAAGATTCTCACAGACTTTGCTGCTCGTGCTAACTTCAAGCTGTGAGCCTCAGATATCAGCCTCTTGAGTGGCGAGGATTACAGGTGTGAACCACTGGCACACAATAATGTTTTAATTTTTGAAATGATAATTTTGTCTCAAAATTTAAATATGATGGAATAAAAATCCAAGGAAGTGGGGCTGGGAAGATAGCTCAGCGGTAGAGTTCATGCCTTGCAAGCATGAGGCCCTGGGTTCGATTCCTCAGCACCACATAAACAGAAAATGCCGGAAATAGTGCTGTGGCTCCAGTGATAGAGCGCTAGCCTTGAGCTGAAGAGCTGAGGGACAGCGCCCAGGCCCTGAGTTCAGGCCCCATGACCGGCAAAAAAAAAAAATCCAAGGAATTACTTATACATCACATCATTTTGGGTTTGTTTTTAATTTCCTTTTTAGTTATTCCCTAACAGTAAACATTGGTTATTTGTTTTGCAGGATCCTTGCAGTCTTTCCTGGAAGCCTGTAGCAACGCTTTATTTTTTCGTACTTGTTCTGTGTTGCTTCGAACCCCTAAGCTTGATCTTCAAATCCTAGAAAAGCTCAGTATTATTCTACAGAAGCTGTCCAAAATCAAGTAAGAATTTCTCCATGGCTCATGCCTATAATCCTAGCTACTTGGGAGGTGGAGATCAGGAGGCTTACAGTTGCAAAACCCCATTTTAACCAATAAAATGCTGGGAGTCATGGGGCATGTCTGTCATCTCAGCTGTGCAGGAAGCATAAATACATAAATAGGATTCTAGTCTAGGTGCACTGAAGCATAAATGGAAGACCCTGTTTGAAAAATAGCTGATAGAAAAGGTTGGAGTTGTGGCTCAAGTGTTAGGGCACTTATCTAGCAACTGTGAGTCTCTGAGTTCAAACCTTAGTCCTAGCAAAAGAAAGAAAAGAAGAAAATCAAGATTCATGAATATTACTACTTATCAAAGAGTATATATTTAATAGACTATGATTATAATATTAATCTTAGAACATCTAATTGTTTCAGCTAAAACAAACTATAGTATATAAATCTAAGAACACTTTTATCTTTTTATTTTGTGTTTGTGTGTGTACATGCACATGCACACATGCACCAATGTGCATGTCCTGCATGGAAGCCAGGACTTCTCATTTTAGGCAGGTGCTCTATCACTGAGCTCCACCTCCAGGCCTGTTAGCAAACAAATCAGAACAAATCATGCTATACTGACACTCTGTAAGTGAAAATAAAAAAAGAAAAATAAATATGTAAATATAAATATAAAATATAGATATAAATATAAAATAAAATAGATAATAAAACTTTATTTTGTAATCCCTTATTAAATAGTAAAGTGAGTTTGAGGAAGCTGGCAAAGAGATTTTAGATGATTTTACACTGGGGTTTATCTTAGGAAACTATTGTGGATTTCCTACTGCTGCTGATTGAGTTTTACTGTGAGAATCAAGGGCTTTCTTTTTTCATTTTCTTTTTCCCCCAATTTAAATATTGGTATGGCTAGTTTTTAAATTATGAATTAATGGGCTGGGAAGGTGGCTCAGTGGTAGAGCGCTTGCCTTGCATGCCTGAGGCCCTGGGTTCGATTCCTCAGCACCACATAAGCAAAAGGAAAAAAGCTGGAAGTTGTGCTGTGGCTCAAGTGGTAGAGTGCTAGCCTTGAGCTGAAGAGCTGAGGGACAACGCCCAGGCTCAGAGTTCAGCCCCGCAACCAGACCCAAATAAATAAATAAATAAAAATAAAAAAATTATGAATTAAATACATAGATTTTGAGCTATTTTTCCCCTGAAGTTTAGCATAGTCTTTTCCTTTGCAAATCCATCTGTTCTGTCCTCTTTTCTCTCTTTTTATCCTCCTCCATTCCTCTCCCACCCCTCTTCTTCTCCTCCTCCATTTTTTTTTTTTTTTTGTTGTTGTTGCTGGTCCTGGGGCTTGAACTTTGGGCCTGGGTGCTGTCCCCAAGCTCCTATGCTGAAAGCCAGCACTCTATCACTTGAGCTACAGCACCGCTTCCAGATTTTTCTGTGATTAATTGGAGATAAGGGTCTCATGGGCTTTCCTGCCCAGGTTGACTTGAGTCATGGCCTTCAGATCTTAGGCTCCTGAGTAGCTAAGATTACAGTTGAGCCACCAGTATCTGGCTTCCTTCTCCCTCTTTTTTTTTAAAAATGTTTTTTATTGTGAAAATAGTGTACAGATGGGTTACAGTTAGATGAGAAAGGTAATGAGTACATTTACTATTGAGCACAAAGGAGGAGGTAACAGTGCTTCTTCTCCTTCTCTTAATGGTGATATTGTCTCACTATGTAGCTAGGCGAGGCCGACTCAATCCTGAAATCCTCCTGCTTCCACTTTCCAAGTATTGGAACTAAAGGTATATGGCACTAGGCCCAGCACGTCAGTCTTTGTATTTGTGACAGTATTGTGACTTGAACTCAGAGCCCCGGTGTGCTCCTTTAGTTTTTTCACTTAAGGTTTGCACTATACTACTTGAACCACACCTCCATCTCCAGGTTTTACTAGTCAATTGGAGATAAGAATCTCATGTACTTTGCTGCCCAGGTTAGCTTTGAACTGTGATTCTCAGATCTCAGCCTCCTGAATAGCTAGGATTACAGGAATGAGACAACAGTACCTGGCTGTTACAAATTCTTATTTTGTATGTACACCTGTGCTAGTACTAGGGATTGAATTTACAGCTCCATGCTTTTGTGTACCTGTGGTATTCTTCCACTTGAGCCATGCTTCCAACCTGAATTTTTTTGCTACTTAATTTGAGATAGTGTCTCATGACTTTTTTGTCAAGGCTAGCTTCAGATTGAGATCATCTGATCTCAACACTTGAGCTAAGATTATAGACAGTCATATACCCAGTCAGTTTATTAATTGCCAAGTTGTGACATGTGTGTGTGTGTGTGTGTGTGTGTGTCACATGCGCAGTCCTGGGACTTGAACTCAAGGCCTGGGCACTGCCCTTGAGCTTTTTTTCTATGCTCAAGCCTGGTGCTCTACTACTTGAGCCACAGCTCCACTTTTGGCTTTTGTTGGAGGTAAGAGTCTCATTGTCTTTCCTGCCCTGTTTGGCTTCCATCCATGTTCTTCAGATCTCAGCCTCCTGAGTAACTAGAGTTATAGGTATGAGCCTCTGCACTTGGCTGTAACACATTCTTTTTTTTCTTTTTTCTTTTTCTTTTTTGTCAGTTGTGGGGCTTGAACTCAGGGCCTAGGCACTGGCCTGAGCTCTTTTGTTCAAGGCTAGCACTCTACCACTTTGAGCCACAGGTTTACTTCCAGTTTTCTCATGGTTAATTGGAGATAAAGAGTCTCATGGACTTTCCTTCCCAGGTTGGATGTGATCCTCACATCTCAGCCTCCTGAGTAGCTAGGATTATAGGCATGAGCCACTGGCACCTGGCTTGTAACATATTAACCTACCAAATTGTTAGTTTTAGTCTGGTATCAATTAACCTTATAAATTTTATTCTCTCCCTTTACTTGGAATCTGTACAATGATTTTCTGGCTTGTTAATGTCTCAATGCAGCCCAATACAGTTAGCTTGTCATTCTGTGGAGGTTCAGTAACGTTATTTAGATTTAGTTCTTTTTTACCTCTCAATTCATAGAATTTTAAAAAGTAGTTCCCAACTAGGAACATTGAGGGTATGGATGGGACTAGGAGGGATGGGGGAGAATAATGGAAGGGATGATATCCATCAAGATACATGGTACTTATAAACTGACATGCTTAATGGAAACCCCTTTGTACAAGTACTTAAAGATAATAAAAATATAATAAGAATAAAAGTAGTCTCGACATAGAAGCTTATCCTTAGGCCAAAAGTGCATTCTCCATGAAGTGTTTTGTTGCGTAAGCACACAAAGATAAATCCTCTTTTAAAGGGGTAGTAGATATGATCATTTGATAATTTCTCTGAAGAGATGAGACATATTTCTTGTCTAGACAAGAAAATAAAAAATATGTTACTAGAAAATGAGAGTCCTACTGAGTGAAAATGAAATTACCGACTTGCTGCTAAAAAGGAGTAGTTGAAAAGTATTCTGGAGCTAATCTCAAAGGTAAACCAGAATGGTGCCATCTTAAAAGCTAGTTTACTTTGATAACAAGTATTTAACTTTCTGGCTAACTGCCGGGAGACTTGGGGAGGAGATTTCTCATTTTTTAATTGTGTATATGGTATAGTTTTCAGGACTGTGAAACCCTTTTAAGCCTTTTTGGCCTAAGACCTGTACCCTAAAACTTTGTTTTTCTTAGCATTTTAATTCATTACTCAGCCATTTCCCCAGTATTTGAAAAAATAAATGCCATTTCTCCACATTTATATATAAATTATCTCTAGAGGTAATTTCCTTAGTGTGTATAGTTCAGCAATATGGTTTATTCTTTTTCAGGAGCAATAAGAAGCTCTTTGAGCTTTTTACAATTCATCTGATGCTGCAAGAATTACAAAGGACCACTCATCCAGAGCATGCCTTCCTCTGTATTAACTTGAACTCAACTCTGTTCAATTTGGGCTTAACAAAGTGCAATTCCTTTGTCTCCAATACAAACGAATAGATTGGTTTATTGCCCCATTAGATGGGTGTATATATGTATATAAAACAGGTGTTATTTGTAGAAGTGTAAAAAGTCACCACAGTAACAGATTCTCCCAAGTAGAATAGAATCATCTATCATGAAAGATAACTGGCATTTTTTTCATCTTTGTAAATGGAATCTATAAGCTATGAAAGTTTTATGTACAAGATGACAGATGACATTTTCAGAATTTATGACATTGGGGTTGGGATACTTTTTATAAAAGTACTCTAGGAAAGCTTTATTAAAATTATGTGACAATTTGAAATAAATTGGTTGCTTATGTGGGAAGAGTTAACCATGTTGTCATTCTGGGTTTTTTGGTTTTTTTTTTATGTTTGGCTCCTCCTGGGACTTGAATTGGGGACTTTCCTACTTGCTAAGCAAGCATCTATCACTTTAGCCACACTCCCAACCCTATTTACTTTAGCTGTTTTTGTTTTGTTTTGTCCAAGTAGACCTCAGTCATCCTGTTTAGGTCTCTTGTATAGCTGAGCTGATAAGCATGTCCCACCATGTCCAGCTTTATTAGTTGAGATGGGGACTGGAGGTCTTGCTAACTTTTGTCTGGGGGAGTCCCAAAGCACAATCCTTTTACTTCCACACCCAAGTAGCTGGGATTTACAGGTGTGACCCACTGTACTTGGCTGTTTTCTTAGCATATGAGAAACACTCCTTTTGAAAGAAAAAGTACATATTTTTAAATGTTTTTTTTAAAAAATGGGGACTTTTATTTATTGCAGGCCTAGGGATAGAACCCAGTGCCTTCTGCATGATAGACAAGCACTGTACTGCTGAGCCTACACTCCCAGTCCAAAAGTACCCTTTTCTAACTGGTTTAACTATCTCTAGATAATGCAGAGTAGGTACCCCAGCAAAGGGTGTTTCTGAAGAAGAGGACAGAGTAAATGAGGCAAATGCAGTGTTCAAAGACAGAGTTGAATAAAGTTTTTTAGTTAAAGAGAGCTGCATGTATAGATAGACAAAGCTTCCCAGAAAAATCAATGAGAAAAACGTCCTATAATCGGGTGCATCTTGACAAAATAATAAATTGTAAGGTCAAAGCAAGAACAAAAAGCATTAATCTACAAGATAAGACATACAAGCTAGCCTAGTAGAATTCCAGAAATAAATATGAAGTTACAAAAAGGAAAAATTTTAATTTTTTTATAGGTAAGGAAAACATACTTCCAGACAGGTAAGTGTTCATAAATCCTATTACCTATGTGCTCTTCTCAAGAAAAGAAACTTATTAAATTTTAATCAATGTAGAGATTAGGGAAAACAGTTTGTGTAGATTAGCCCAGTCCTGAAAGACTAGTGAACACTAAAACCACTTAAACATAAGTTTAAATGATGGTTCTAAATATATAAGTTGGAGTGAGATGTTAATGTTTTCCAAAAGGATAACTGAAGGGAAAAACAAGTATTTGGCTAATACTGTGTATTATTTAAGTGGAGCCTGGCTTAAGGAGTATAACACCAGACTTAAGTGAAAAAGCTAAAGGATAGCACCCAGGCCTTGAATTCAAGTTCTAGTACTTGCGTGCACACACACACACACAAGGATTAACTTGATTAACCAAAACTGAGAAGTAATGGGTGAAAAAAGGAGTCATAGTACATTTGTACTCTATTCTCATCAGAAATAGTGTTTGGGGTTGGGTGCTGGTGGTTCACGCCTGTAATCCTAGCTCCTCAGGAGGCTGAGATCTGAGAATGAGGTTTCAAGCCAACTTTGGCAGGAAAGTCTGTGAGATTCTTATCTCTAATCATTAAAAAGCTGGAAGTGAAGCTGTGGCTCAAATTGGTAGAGTGCCAACCTTGAGTAGAAAAATTAAACAATAGTACTGAGGCCCTGAGTTCAAGCTCCAGGACTGGCCAAAGGAAGAGAAGAGGAGGAGGAGGAAGAGGGCTGAGAATGTGTGGCCATTGGTTTGGTCCTCAGTGTACACACACACACACAATTTAATACTAACAGAAAAATATAGTCTAGAGGATACTTTTATATTTGTATTTTATTTTACTTTCTGTGCCCATACCGAGGCTTGAACTCTCTTGCTTGACTTTTTTGCTAAAAACTGGCACTCTACCTCTTGAGGCACCCTTTCATTTCCAGTTTCTTGGTGGTTAATTGGAAATACATATGTGTGTGTCTGCCTGGGCTGAATTTGAACTTTGATCCTCCTGAGTAGGTAGGATTACAGGTGTTAATCACTGGGCTGGCCTAAAAGATACTTCTAAACAAGGCATAGAAGAATGCTGTTGCAATTAGGGTACATAATATCAAAGTACTAAGAAAAAAACTATATAGGTAGGGCTAAGAATTCTACATAGGGTTTTTTTTTTTTTTTAATCTGCAAATGTCCTCATCTGCGGCATTCCTGACACTCTTCTGAGGATGGGTCCTGTGCTTGTCAGCTCCACCCTTGTTCTTTTTTTTTTTTTTCAAATTTTTTTATTGTGAATAAGTGGTTACATAATTTCCCAAATTTCACAGTATTGTGGGATAGTGATGCTCAGTTAAAATCACAAACACATTCTAACTTTCCTGGAGCAAATTATCTATCATGGTCTATAACATTTATGAGTTCTATGAGCTTTGCGATACAGTTATTTCTTCCACATTGGGTGGTATGTACATTTCTTTTGTTTTGCATAGCATCAGCTGCCATTAAGTTGCTCAGTTCATTTTGGTCAATTTCCAGTGCAGCTGATGGGTCCCCCTGCTATGTTTTTCCCTGATTCCCTCTAGTTCTGTGTCATCTTCTTGGTTCCCCTCCGGTCTACACATATATACCATACATGTGATCAACAGCATGGGGTTATTTAGTAGTGATTCGACCAGATGAGTGGAAGACCTTTGTTTCTTAAGTCCTGCAGCATGGGGTTATTTATTAGTGATTCGACCAGATTAGTGGAAGTCCTTTGTTTCTTAAGTCCTGTTAATTTTGTCCTATCACCTAACATTTTGGATTTAACATCCACTTATCAGGGAGACCATGTACCGTTTGTCTCTTTGCTCTTGGCTTACCTCACTCAACATGATTTCTTCTAGCTCCATCCATTTCCCTGCAAATGCCATTATTTTGCCATCTCTAATGGCTGCATAATATTCCATTGTGTATAGAAACCACAAATTTTGGATCCATTCATCTGTGGTAGGACATCTGGTTTGTTTCCATATCCTGGCTATTGTGAACAGTGCTGCAATAAACATGGAGGTGCATGTGTCCTTGCATACTTTGCATACTGGTTCCTGTTGTTTAGGATAGATGCCTAGAAGTGGTATGACTGGGTCATAAGGGAGGTCAATATTTAGCTTTCTGAGGACCCTCCAGATTGCTTTCCAAAGTGGTTGTATAAGTGTATATTCCCACCAGCAGTGTAATAGGGTTCCTCTTTCTCCACATCCCCTCCAGCATTTGTCGTTGGCTGACTTGAGGATGTGGGCCATTCTGACTGGGGTAAGGTGGTATCTCAGGGTTGTCTTGATTTGCATTTCCTTCACAACCAGGGATGGTGAACATTTCCTCATGTGTTTCTTTGCCATTTTTATTCTTCATCTGAGAAGTCTCTCTTTAGTTCCCTTGCCCATTTAGTAATTGGTTTGTTAGGTTTGGGAGGGATTAGTTTCTTGAGTTCCCTGTATATACTGGATATTAACCCCTTGTCTGATATATTGCTGGTAAATATTTTTTCCCAATTAGTTGGTTGTCTTTCTAGCTTGGTTGCTATAGCTTTAGTTGTGCAGAAGCTTTTTATTTTAAGATAGTCCCATTCGTTGAGTCTCTCTCCAATTTGTTGTGACCCTGGGACTCTGTTCAGGAAGTTCCTTCCTGTGCCTATAAGTTCAAGTGTCTCTCCTACTCTGTCCTGCAGTAGTTTCAGAGATTCAGGTTTAATGTTAAGGTCTTTAATCCATTTTGAGTTGATGTTGGTGCATGGTGATAGGCTGGGGTCCACTTTTAGTTTTCTGCATGTGGCTGCCCAGTTTTCCCAGCACCAGTGGTTGAAGAGGCTGTGTTTCTTCCATTGTATGTCTTTGGCTCCTTTGTCAAATATCAGCTGACTGTAGGCATGTGGATTTATTTCTGGATCTTCTATTCTATTCCATTGGTCTTCAGGTCTGTTTTTGTGCCAGTACCATGCTGTCTTTGTTATTATAGCTCTGTAGTAGAGTTTGAAGTTCGGCATGGATAGCCCTCCCATATTGTCTTTATCCCCTAGAATTGTTTTGGCTATTCTAGGTCTTTTGTTGTTCCATATGAATTTTTGGACTGTTTTCTGTATTTCAGAGATGTACATCATTGGGATTTTAATAGGAATTGCATTGAATTTGTATATTAATTTTGGCAGTATTGCCATTTTCACTATATTAAGTCTGCCTATCCAAGAGCATGAGAGGTCTTTCCATTTCCTAGTGTTTTCTGTAATTTCTTTCTTTAACTTTTTATAGTTTTCATTAAATAGTTCTTTTACAGCTTTGGTTAGGTTAATTCCTAAATATTTTATTTTGGGGGGTTATTGTGAATGGGCTTGCTTCCTTTATTTCCTTCTCTGCTTGTACATTGTCAGTGTACAGGAAGGTGACTGATTTTTGTGGGTTGATTTTGTATCCTGCTACTTTGCCGAAGTGATTTATGATTTCTAAGAATTTGGGGGTGGAGTTTTTGGGATTGTGAAGGTATAGTATCATGTCATCTGCAAAAAGGGATAGTTTAACTTCTTCTTTCCCTATGCAGATTCCTTCAGTGTCTTTTTCTTGCCTTATTGCCCTGGTTAAGGGTTCCAGGACTATATTGAAGAGGAGTGGAGACAGTGGGCATCCTTGCCTTGTTCCTGATTTTAGGAGAATTGGCTGTAGCTTTTCCCCATTAAGTATAATATTGGCTATTGGTCTGTCATAAATAGCTTTTAATGCTTTAAGAAATGTTCCTTCTATTCCTATTTTCTCCAGAGCTTTTAGCATGAGTGAATGTAAATTTTATCAAAGGCCTTTTCTGCATCTGTGGAGATAATCATGTGATTCTTGACCTTGGCTCTATTGATATGTTGGATTACATTTATTGACTTACGTATGTTAAACCATCCCTGCATCTCTGGGATGAAGCCTATCTGGTCGTAGTGTATGATTTTTTTTTATGTGTTTCTGGATTCTGTTAGCTAGAATTTTGTTAAGGATCTTTGCGTCTGTGTTCATCAAGGAAATTGGCCTGTAATTCTTTTTTGGTTGGGTATGAGTGTGATATTGGCATCATAGAATGAGTTTGGGATAGCTCCCT